GTGATTGCCGAGATCTTGGCGTGAATGGCGTAGGCTTGAGAACGCACGAACTGGGAGAATGTGAGATGGTGATTGCCGATTCGTGAGGGCGGAGAAGACGAGAACGACACAGGGGTTGAGGGGTTGAGATCTGTGAATTTCGGCCGACTTGGGAGAAGGGTTGGAAATCGGGTAGGGAGAAGGGCTGAGAAGTGGAATTGGGTTTTTTTCATTGGGCTATAACTAAAAGATTTGGTCTGGGCTAGTGGGCTTACATATATTTAACAGTTAACACTTACTATGGGCTCGGTTATTCGGTCGGTTTCGGTTAACATTGCCCAAAACCGAAACCGAAACCGATAACCGAATTAACCGAATTTTTTTTACATTAAAACCGAAAACCGAAACCGAATTTAAAATTACGGTCGGTTCAGTTATTGTGTATCGGTTAATCGGTCGGTTCGGTTAATTTGCTCACCCTAGGTTCGCCACTGGGTACGTCCAAAGGTTCCACTGAACGGTGTATCAAATAATGTGCACTATAAAACAAAACAATACGGAGTATTTAAAACCACACATTCAAAAATGTACCGTATGGGTATATGTGAATATGTGATAGACGAAAAAAGTTCTATTCATTTACAAATGTTATGGATCCAGTAGTGCAGGTGGAACTGGAGGTTCGTCGGAGTGAGAGGCCAAGGGGGGAAGGAGATTGCCCCGTGATTACAACATGCATTAGTTTTCTCTTACTTCCATTATTATGTAATTGAGCAAAATATAAACTCTTTCGGAGTTTTTTTACGGTTCTTTATCTCATTGGTTTTTTAAACCGTCACGATAACAAACGCAGTTGTTTAAGATTGGGCCTCTCTATATGTTATAAATAGACATTAAACCTTAAGGATAATTATCAATAAAGAATATTCAATTCCTTCTCTCTTCTCGGCTAACGCACGCCTCTTGCATTTCCTTTGCCGGTTTTCTCTTCTTCTCCTTCTCAAGTTTGAGCGCACTCTGAGCCTTCCTCACCGATACTTGACGTATCAACAAACTATTTTATTTTTTCATCAATAATTATACGGATTATATAATTACAATGTCATAAATTAAAATAAATTAAAATATGCATGGTAAATTAATTTACTAAACGCTTTGGCAAAAAAAATTCTCGCATAACTTAAATGCAATACAATTCATTTGAAATCAAACATCAATGTCATATTATAATAACATCGGTATAATCCAATCACCTAGGGCACTCTGTTTTAGCCGGAAGTGGGAAGATGGTCTATAAATAATACGGAGTACAAGCATTCTTTATTGGTACGTCCAATGCTTCCCCTATATGGTGTATCAAATCATGTGCACCATAAAACAAAACAATATTTCAAACCACACATTCAAATTGTACCGCATGGGTAACATGTGAATATGTGATGGACGGAAAAAGGTTTTTTATTCGTACACAAACTATTTCTTATTTAATTCCTACAATTTTTTTTTGGGTGAGGTTCCCATGACATTGGGTTCCAATGTCATGGGATGACCCGGGGTGCTCCGGTGCCTTGTTCGTAAAATTGACGGTTCCTATCCCCTCTAACCCCGATAAATCCCCCACCCTGCCCCCAACCCAAACACGCCCCTTACTCCCGTCAATTACACCCACAAGTTGATTTTGACTTTGGAATTAAAATTTGACTTCAAAGTCAAAATCAACTTGTGGCCTGGGGTGCAATTAGCGAGAGTAGGGGGACGTGTTCGGGCCGGGGCGGGGTGGGGGGTTTACCGGGGGCACAGGATTAGGGGAAATAGAAACCGTCAATTTACGAAGGGGCACCGGAACACCCCGGGTCATCACATGACATTGGAAGACAATGTCATGGGACAAAGTTCACCCATATCTATTGTTGAACACTCTTTTTAAGAGTCATGGGTCACATCCAACCACTCAGTTCGTGCAATTATGCATTTCCAATTCAAAAGTTCAAACATTCAACATATGTTCCCCCTAATCTATTACTCCGTAAAGGCATAAAAGTCAAGTTTTAATTGATGTCCAAGAACATTGGTGTGGGTCACACACTCACACTACCAAGTACCAATAGATTAACAACAACAATTTACATATTACTCCTCTACTGTTTTTGTCCACTTTTCCTTTTCGGTTCCTCCCACTGTTTTTGTCCACTTACTTAATTTGGTAAGAAATTTTTTTGTAAAAGTCCATTCTACCCTCAATTAAATATCCCTATCCACCCATCAATTAATATCATCTTCCTATACCCTGGATCCATCTTCTTTCTCATTCTTTTTTTATGGTCTCTCTATATCTTCTTCCTCAAATCCCATCTTGTGTTTATAACTTTTAGGGATTAAGTAAACACGAACAATTTAGTGAACTCTGCTGTCAATTTCAACGATATCTACTGGAAGATTGTCTCGTTTAGGTGGAACTGCCATGGTGGGTGCTGTGAACCAGATATGGGTTTAACGTGTGAATTCATTTTGTGTGTAATGATGTAAAGGATGGGCAAAAAGTTGTCATAGTACTAATTCATTTTGTGTGTAATGATGTAAAGGATGGGCAAAAAGTTGTCATACTTTCTCCGTCCCAAATTATTTGCCACATTTGTATTCCCGAGGAAAAATATCAAGTTTTTTCAATTTATTTTATTTACATATTGGTATAGAAATAAAAAATAAAATATAAAAAACTACATGAAAAATTATTCAAAATAAGAGGTGTCAAAAATATTTTATTTTATCAAATAACTAATGAAAACGTCGAAATAAACAAAAGTTCTCGCGACTGCTGAAAAAGCAAATGTGATGAATATTTAGGGACGGGGGAGTAGCACTTTTTCATTCACTTTTTGGCACTGTTTTTAATCCACTTTCCTTCTTTTTTTTTCTCATGCGTGGCCTATAAGGGCCTTTTAATCCCTTTCCACTCTCTTATCCCACTCTTTGGTATTTGTGCCAAATGCTAAGTGGACAAATAGAGTGGGACGGAAGGAGTACTATGTAAACTTATTTGCAAATGAGAAATTTACCTAAATAGGATTAAAACATAATGAATTTCCCAATATAAAAACATATGTTTTTATTTCCTATATGTCCATCATTCATATATTCTTAATCACATAATCATTTATGCATACATAAACTTAAAACACAACTATTTGAAGATTATGATTATAAGTAGACATACTCGTAAATGCACGCCTAAATCCTAAAGTGACGCTTGGAATTAGAGTTTTTCACTCCAACTTATAGTTCCGATCTGATTTGATTAATATATGATTTAATTGTAATTATATTTAAAATTATTTCTAATATGATCTGATTTTAATAAAGTTAAGTATTCTAACAGCCTCTGTTTCTCTTGAACCTTTGTATTTCACCTTTCACGATTTTTGACGCAACACTTTTACTATCGTTATCTTGTTTTATAGATAGTTATATATTATAAAAATATAATGTTTTAAAACTATCTTTCAAAATGTATTTATTGATATTAAATTCATATATCACAATTTTATATATATATATATATATATATATATATATAATTATAATTATAATTATTTATTTGTAATTTATGATCAAAGTTTAGAAAAAATGATCTTAAAAGAAAAATGAGAAGATTCTAAAGGAGGCGAGTGGAGTAATTAGTAAAAAGAATAAGTTTAAGAAAAGAAACTCTTAAGGCGTGCTCTATTCAACGTATTCTTTTTATTTATTACTTATTCATATTATAATCATACAAGACCATATGATAAAAAACTTTAAATATAATTACAATGAGATCAGGTCATATTAGATTAGAACTTATTGTAGTCATATCAAAACCAATCAGATCGATTAAGAGGACAAACCTTACTCTATTTGAAATCTGGTTGCCGTAGAAACCTATACTATATACAAAAGGAAAAGAATTGGGAAAATAAAGAAAAATATTATGTGATGTTTTCCCGCCCAAGATGTAGGTAAAATTATGGCCGTCGATCTGATATTAAGGGTTAATCAACAACATTTAATAAATAAATAAGTTAATCCACTTAACGCTTCTGTTTTTAATGAGTCTCGTCGACTTCTCAAGTTTCTTATATTAACAGCGCGCTGGTGGGCGTTGTGCAGTTGGCGAAGACAATGAGTGCGAAGAAAGTAGATCTGAATTCAATTCTTGACAATTACACTGACAGATATTTGTGCTAAGAGCATGGCTAGCTGTGCCACACCAACTCAAATGATGCTCAATCCCTAATTTGCCTTCCGAATCTTAGCCTTGCGATACGCCATATGTGGGAGGCGCAAGGTATCTCCTTGGTTTTTTTTTTTTGAAGAAGAAAGAATTTTTTTTAAAAAAGAAGTATGTCTATTTTAAAAGAAGATAGATGAAATAATTTTTAATAATTAGAATACATTAAAAAATCATAAAAAGCAGCACCAACAATGAATTGCCACTGAATAATATGCCACTTTACTCATTTGCAATACGTTGGCTCGATTCTTTTTTATTAACTGAAATGTGACACATCAACGAATGAAATTCCATTTCGTTAATTGTCATTTCACTTACTCTAAGAGCAAAGGCAGACATGCAAACACATATTGTTTCACACGCCTTGCCACTTCAGCTTCTTTTTTTTATAATGCCTCACATGGTATCCTCATTCCTCCATGGTTTGAGAGTCATGTGTGAGGCAGTCCATTCCCATTTTTTTATTTTTTTTGTATAAAATAAAAGATATTTTTTAATAAGAAATACATCTATTATTATAAAAAATATAAGTACAAATATTTTTTGTGATTAAAGTACATTAAAAAAGTGTAAAATGTGACAAAATATTAACTTGTCACTGCACAAAGTATAACTCTTCTTACTAGTCATACACTGACTGTACTATTTTTAATTATTTGGAAAATTTTATATCATGGTGTGACCTTTTTTTGCCTCATTATTTTACATGGTCTAAGCAAGGTGTATCTTTTTTTACCTATATTAAGAGCTCATTCGAAAGAGAATCCTTATTTCTTATGCCTGTTGAATTTACAAACACATACTCCGTATGAGAAAATTCATCTCACTCTTCTCTCTCCCAATCTCATAAGCTCCCCCCCTCCCCCCACCCATTGGCAGAGACGGTGAAACTGGTGAAAAAACAGGCGATTTCTTCATCTTTTTCAGGATAAGGTAAAGCCCTCTTTTTTTCCTTCTTTTTCAGAAAAAATACAGTAGTTTTCTAGGAGCCGAGGAGGTAACTGCCTCTTTTCTTTCAATATCACTTTTTTAGATTTCAAATTCTGTAATGCTTTGTGTTTATAAATCTCGTCAGGACACATGAGAATTTCTTAGAAATGAGATATTTGGCTTTAGAAAAGCATATTTGGAATTCTGATTTTATAGATTTGCAATAAGATTTTCCCGATTTTATATCTATTTAGGGTTTCCAAACTTCAATACTGAGTGTTGATTCAATTCCATTATTTAATATTGAAAATATTGAAAGTATAGATTTGATGTTTGGTACTTTGGCAAACAATTACTCCGTACTCCCTAATTTGCAATGCATTCTGTCTAATAAAGTCTTTTAGTAAGTGATAAATAAAAATCTTTGTATGGTAGTGTAACATTATTGAGTGCACGTGAATCTTAAGAGTATATTGTGTTTTGCTAAAATGTGCTTGGGCAAAGTTTGGAAATCAACATAGTTTGGAAAAAAAATATTGAATTCGAACCAAATGTGAGAATTCACAATCTAATGAAGATATTTATTCAGTTTTAAGTTTTTAAAGTCTATCATTTTTTATCTTTGACAACAAACTAAGTAAAAATTATATAGAATATATATATTAATTAGATAAAATAATATTTTAAAAATATAATAAAGTATATTTCTTAATTTTGTATTAAAATTTAATACGAGTTTTATTTAAAACGAAATCTCCCTTCTACTCCGTATTGATTATATCTACACCTAACACATTGGTGAGAACATCTTACTATCTTGCTATATATCTCTCTATTTACAACAGCAGCAGGAATAAATCCCGCCCAAATGTGTAGCAACCGCTGGTAGACACGATCTATAGGATAAGGTAAGGCAGATTCTCTGATCCCAACTCTCACCACACGATTCTTTCCGTCAAATGGCTCTGGTCTCAGGCGTGCAATTCGTAAGAATTTTATTTTTTTGTTTCTAATGAAATCATTTGCACATTATAATAATAAATGTGCTGTTTTTATAAGAAGGTATACTTTTTTTTTGTTTTGTTTTGAGGTAGTATGTGTGGATGAAATTTCTAAAGCAACCATATACTAGTAAATAGGATTTCATCATATATAAGCTTTTAACTCTATATATATGTAGACATGAAAACTGAAAAAATAGTCTAATACGATTTCAACTTATATACATGATACAACATCATTTATTTTTACATATAATTATATGATTTAACTTTGTACTATTCAAAGAAAAAGTACTAAAATTTGTTTTTACAGTTATTCTCATTTGTCTATCACTGTCATTTTACAGATAAATCGGTACCCAATCGAGAACGAGAAGAAGAAGAGAGAGATAACACGGCGAGACAAAAAGTATGTCTCCCATTCATTTTAGTCATTTTTTCTTTTTACTTTAACACTATGTTTGGTTCAAGGAATTTGGAAGAAAAGAAAAGAAAATAGTTCTCTCTCTTTCTTTACCAAAATAGAGAAATTTGGTTTCCTCTCCTTTTAGTTTATTTTACTTTATTATGTTCTTTTCTCTCAAACCAAACATGAAAAATTGTTTTTCCTCTCATTTCCTTTCCTTTCAAATTACTTGGACCAACCACAGTGTAAGAGGTATTCATTGTTTTTGAACAAAAGCAATGTTTTTTACTAAATATATCCCTTTTTGTTTTTTGTAATTGATGAACTATCTTCCGATGCTTGATGATTCTTTACTGAGTACATCCTTTATTGTTTTCACTAAATCCCTTAACTGACTTTTGTCGACTTGAGTACAGAGTATGATCCTAACTACGGAGTATCTTCCACTCTTCCAGTGCTCTGCCTAAAAAATGTAAGATCTTTAATTTAAAAAAAATTAATTGTGTTAGAATGGATATGTGGATCTTACTTTTTGTTTTGTATTTGATACTTCAAATATAGTGAGAAATTTAAATTGCTTACTAAATGATAGCTATGTACTAAAACCTATTCATGTAAAGTCAAGGTTTTTATTTTTTAAAAATGAGGTGCATCTTCAAGTAGAAGAGGTTGATGTTAAGGTGATGTTAGAATGGTCTCCTGGACAATTGTAGTTTGTTATTATATGCTGGAGCAAATTTAGGTTACCAACTTGCATGTTTTCACTTCTTAAGAAATGACATGATATACTACAAAGAGACACGGAGCCAAGGTTATTGCAAATTGGTCTTTTGGATATTTATTTCTTGAAGTAAGAACAAGTTAACATCTTGCAGGTTTTCAAATATTTAAAAATGAGCAAAGTGAGGGGAGTCGAGTTACTATAGAGACACTATTGCTCAAGTAGTTAGCTTTGGGGTCTCCTTTCACTTAGTTTTATAATTGTAATTAAAAGGTCTTAAGTTTACATGTCCTTTTCTTATTAGAGTTTTCTCTTACCCCACTCTTTTCCCAATGTTTTCAATTGGCTTTTGATTTTATTGTCTCGATTTTCATTTATTTATTATGTATAGTAATAATAATTTTTTTTTAAAGTTTTACGTATACTTTTGTGATGAAGTATTTATTCTTTGATTTATTTTTTTTGAAGCAAATAAATTTTCATGCATCATAGGGGCCAATCACCATTAAATGTCAACTTATTATTAAAATCTCACTATTTAGTTATGGTTAATTTTAAGAGGTTGTCTCGCGTAACAAATTAGTTAGAATTGAAAATATTGAGTTATGATAATAAAATAATCCTCTGAATCACATTTCAAATGAAATGTACAATGAAGTTTTTTTAGAATTTCTAACATTTGTTCAATTTATTTAATACTCTGTATAATTTTTGTCATGTAAAATAGCTACATGGGAAAATTTATGTGTGGCGAGTCTTATTAGAACTAATTGTAATTATATGAACCATTAGTTAATTATATATTTTTACCGTGCATCGCACGGGTTAAAATCTAGTACAAAGCAACATAGATAAGGACCACATATCCTCTGATGAAGCTTCCTGCGTACTAATCTGTTTGGAGCGTATGGAGAACGCTACCTCTGATCAATAGCATACCCTTTCCGTCAAGTCCAGCTTCTCTTTCTTTTGTCAATCTCAGCCGCTTCATCATCTTTGATCAGACAAGCACGGAAGTAAGCCTGCATTGTCGAGCCCGGCATCGTCCAGACCCCGGTGGATGAAGAACAAGACGGCGGAAAGCTCCAGCGATGGCAGCGACCGGCTCCTAAGGTTTAGGACATCGTCGGTGATTCCGCGTAGCAGGCGTTTTAGAGTCAGTCCATCACACAGATGATAATTGAAGCGAAATTCATTACAAATGCTATCTCAAAGGAGGAGTTGCAGGTCCAAAATTAGTTCCCAGGTATATTTGTTTTCTTATTTTTTAAGATGAAAAACTTTACTAGGATATTGCTGAAATTTGTTTTCAAAATTATCCATTATTTAGTATTACGTTTGAATTTGATTTTGAATGAGTTTGGGAACTTTTGTAGGACGGTTTTGACTATTCTTTTGTAGGGTGGAAAAGAGTTCAATCAAGCCCAAAAGATCATCTTTGGGTATATAATCCTTCCCTTCGTCTTTCTCAGTTTAAAATTCAAGCATTCAATACATAATCCTGTAGTTTTGATTCTGCACTAAGGGAATGATGGAGGTTGTTGAGGAATTTGATCTGGCTTTATCTGGGTCTTTTTATTATTAGAAACTGAGTGGTGTGTTTCAGATTCAATCATAAACTCATACAGTATAGACAAAATAGATAAACCCAATATACATATATATACATGTTCAAGAGTAGGGCCAGGATTTATGCTGACCTTAAAGAGTCTGTTCATGAGGGATCAATCCTAACTTATAAATGGTTTACATTGTAATACAGAACAGGTCAGACCATTTTAGTGTAAGCCTGATCTTTTAAACAAACTTAGATTTTTTGGCAAACCTAATGGTTATTTGAAGTCCTTAAGAGCTGGAATGGGTGCATTGACATGTTTAAGTTTGACGGGTTTGGTGTTGGTTGATGTTTGACATTAAGAGTAAAAGCATATGAAGTTTGTTTTGCTTCAAATCATTGATATACTTTGATGATTTTATTAATTGGGATTTGGTTACCAGGCTAAAGCAAAGAAATTGGCAATGCTTATTGGGAAGTGACAACTATCGTTACAATGGGAGACCCAATTGTTGCAGCAGTTGAGGAGGTTGGGCTTGCAGGAATGATAAGCCATATCTCTACTAGAGAGGTGGTGCTAACATAAAGCTACTTGAGGAGGAAAATGCTTCTAGGTGTTCTTGCACTTGATATTTGAGAACATTTGATTTTGTTCCTTCCTTCCATTGAGGTTAGTTGTAATAGCACTGTATGGGATCACATCTTTTTCATGTTCAAAAATAATATTTGCCTTAACAAATGGAGCAACACTTTTGTCTTTTTGTCAAAGAGGTTGGATAGAAATAAAAAAAGGGTTTAAACTTAATTGTTTGGTTATTAGATCAAAATCAGATTATATTTGATCTATTTATATAAATGATATCAGTTTTAAGTAATGCTTAAAACATAAAATTTGTAGGTTTTTATGATTGGTAGCATAAATATATCTTACATATGTCGCTTCATCTAAATGTAGGTAGCATTTTTTGAACTGTTTGATGACCGATTCTGTTCAAGCCTACAATTGATTAGAACACTGGACACACACTGAGGAGAAACCAAACTTGACATGATGAAAGTTTTTACCTTCCTCACTTAGATTTATATTCAACAATTTTTAAAATTACTTCTTTGAATGTTTTAGACATCTTCTGCTACTTTTTTCACTTAGGAGTAAATGAAAATTGTTCTTTTATATTTTTGTCAAAGAAGTTGGATAGTTTTTACCTTCATCTCTCTCTTTAGCCGCACATTCATGACGAGTATCTCTAAGCAGGCGACTAAAGCACAGCAAGTTAAATCTTGATTCCACTATCGCAGGTAAAGCCGGCGACTAAAGCTGAGTCGCCGCTGCGAGAAAGAGGGCACTTGAGAATTTGATTACCAAATATGATTCTGAATAGTGTATAACAAAATCTGGAAGGAGTGTGTATTATTTATTTGCTTATTTATATTAAGTTTAAAATATGCAACAGTGACCGAACTCTGGTATGTGAAGGAGCAACATCTGCTCGCACTTGCACTTGATGGGGAGTATGAAGATTCACAGTTTTCAACTTGGGTGTTCAAAAGCCTGATGCTGTTGGAAATTTCATTCAGATATGCATCATCAGTATGTAAGGTTTTGCTCCCTATGCATCATCAAATTGTCGTTCAATTTTGTTCAATTTAGAATTGTGTTTCTTTTCATTCGTCACTTGAGATGTATTCATTTTAGTTTGTTTCATTCAATTCAATTCCTTCAAGGTTGAATCATCCGAGTTAAGGATTAATTTTTTTTTTAAATAATAGCTCTATGTTTTAACATAGGGGTCACATTTCATACATCTAATCTCCCTTACCCTGCTATGGGTAGGAGCCTTTGGGCACTCGAGTAATATTGTTGTTTTATCAACAAAATTGCAGATGAGACTATTCAGGACAACATAGATCAAAAGAAAAATGGAAAAGGAGAGACTTCAAGATAGAGAAAAACACAGGTTAAGGAAAATCTGAGATATAGATGTTAAATCCATCCATCCCATGTGTAAGTACTCTGAGTCCAAATTGAGAATAGTAACTTTTACATGTTTGAGAGTGATAAATTTAAATCTTATGACTGAGTGTGATTATATAGTTTACATGTTTTTATATTAAATATGTAAAAGAATGGATTTCATATGTTATATTTTATTTTATGTTGCTTTTGATTCACTCAAGGTTACAAAGCATAGAATGAGTATAAGCATTTGATATTAGGCCTAGCCCACATATATAAATTGTTTATGCTATTCAGACTATGTATTTGACTTTGTGGGTCTTTGTTTATATAGGAGTATTGATCTTTTAATCTTAGGGTGCTTATTCTAACTTAATGTTCTCTCTCTTTTGCTATTAACTAGACTGATTTTTTTTATTTTAGTTTATGAATACAAATAACAGAGCAAACACTTAACAATTTTAGTTTATGAATACAAATTTTAGTTTGGGAAAACACTTAACACTTTTTTCTCTTTTTAAACTCAAACACATAAATAAATGTTGCTCAGACCACTGCATCTCAAGTACTCCACCCACTGATTCATAAACTCGTGTTTATCTATGGGGATGAGAAGGTTAGTAATCTCACTTCTATATTTTCCCTTCAAATGTAAAATAAAAAATGATAATTTATCATAGTTTTACACCATAACCTCCTAATTTGTAATCTGATTGTCAGCTACCTACTCAAGTTATAGAGGCAGAATTAGAGAGGTGTTTGCTCAACCACAAGTCCATAAAAACAGAATCAAGCAAAAAAACAGGTTTGATTGCTTAATGTATTTTTTAATTACAATATGTTTTTTTTGTGTTTTAGGTTTATCAATAATGTCACTTTTGGAAATAATCTTTAGATACTAAATGTTCAAAGTTTAGCAACTCGGATGATCCATCCACATAAAAAAGATATTTTATGTATTTTTCTTTAAGGAGAGATAGAACTAATAAGCTACTAACAACCTTAGTACTATTTCTCAGGATGTTCAATTTTGGTAAAAGACTATGAAAATGTGAAGCTGCGGAGGCCAAAAGCCCAAGATGTTTGTTTTGAAAAATGGAAAAGGCATGCCAATGTGAGTTTGAGTTACAGAATACAAAGTATTTCTTTCCAAATCTTAAAATAAAGTTATTACCAATTTTGCGATGCACGACCAGAAAATACAGTTAATCACAAACAAATTTTATTTTCTGGCCTTAAAAGTATACTTAGAAATGTAGTTATTATTAGACTTTTTTTGTGTGCCATGAAGCTTCAATCAAAATTTTGTTTCCCATTGTTATGGGTTGACATAAGAATACTTTTTTCTTTTCTACTTTTTGCATGGAAATACTCTTTGAACATTAATTACAATTTCTTTCACCATGTTCAATTCTTTGTTTTATAAACATCATATCTTCAACATTCTTTGATAATTAATTTTTTGAAACTCAAGTAACATATTGATGCCAGTAATCCAGTTCTTAGGCCTTCTTGGCTTTTACTTTGATGAAAAATGAACTTATTTTCTTTCTTGTTTTTTTTTTGGAAAAAAATATATTTGATGCTTTGAAGATCCAATCTTTATATTTGTTTTCTTTAAAAATTATGGAGTATATCTTTTGTGATAAAAAATGAGTCTCCATTCCCAAGACTGAGTTCTTGGGACTGTTAGGGTGGTTCTCCTTTAATTTATGCAATTACTTTCTTTACTGATTTGTATTTGTAGACCACCAATATTACACCATTTATTTCTTACCAAGAAATATTTTTTTGGTACAAACTAAGTATATTTATGAAATAATGTACTTATTGATTATTTTCAAATATTAGCAAATAAACTATTGATAGAATATCTTACCATGCATCGCACGAGTACGAATCTAGTGAGAAAAAAAAGAAAAGAATAATTCTCCGTAGTGTAGTTCTTGCTCATCCACCACAATACAGAAACACATGCATCTTGGGGAGGTTAGCCAGGATCTAATTATCAGCTTAGATTTGATTTCCTTTAGACTGAAATAACCAAACTTTTTTTACTCATATACGGTACTAGCTAGTACTTGTTGATGATTAATTTTCTTGTATCTTTTTAATTAATGACAACTTTATATACCAGGGAGCTACGTAGCTGCGAATTGAAGATCCATCCATCTTGAGAGAGTTGCTTTCACAACAGGTTGTTCAACTAGTTTGATCTGTTTCTTTAATTTCTTCTATCTCTCTTTAGACTGATGTTTCGACTATCCAACGATTTTGAAACCCTTTTCGGCTTTGCTAACCATGGTTAAGAGTGTAGTGGCCCAGGGCGCTGTGTGTCTTGATGGAAGCCCCTCGCTTATCATTTGGTTGCCAGGAACGGTGGTGGCGCTAAAAACTGGATTGTTTACTTGCAAGGAAGAGGGTGATGCATCCATATCATCATGCACCAAACATGGGATCACTCTGTTGAGAGTTGTTCCGACCGCGCCGCCACCAAGGCCGTACATCCATCCACATGAGACCTCTGAATTTTACATACACATATATTTTCTCCTCACGCCAATGAAAGTTATAGCTATAACTAGAATAGAGTGGGAGTGAGGTATTGTGAAGATAGTCCTTTGTGGGGAATGCTCAAAACCCAGACCCTGTCACTCATCTCCATTATAGAGGCGAAAATATTTCAAGATGTCGTCGAAGAGTTGATGACACGAGGGATGAAAGATGCTCGAAATGTTCCTCTAGCTGAGATCGTCTAGGGGCTTAAAGTCATGATAAAATGAGGCCGTTTTAGCGGGGAATCCCCAAGAATGTGAGAGTCAAATGCTGGCCTACAGCTTCCTCTTTCTCCTAGTGAAATATCCTCTATGGACAAAGTTCTTTGAGAATGTCTTCAACACCATAGTCTATGTTCATCACCTCGACTAATTTTACCCCTCAATCCACTTCAAAATTAAGTCTTGGTCGCATGCTTCTTCCCTCAAACCCTTTTGCGCTACACGAAATCCTCGATCTTCATTGCAAACCCTGCATTTGATTCGTTTCAAATCCAAAACATATTCTCGTTGGATTTGTGCAATGAAGTGAAGAATCACACAGTGTGTCAAAGTGATATAGGAATGCTTCAAGATTTCAGACATCAAATCATCAATGTGTTGTCGCAAGCGAGGTGGGGAAGATTATATTTGATAACACCCCTCTACGGTCACAGTTTTGGTTAACAACTTGGTTACGAGATCCCTATATTTGTAATCAATAAGTCAACGAGCATTGAGAGTGTGTTGGTGGACTACTTTTATGACCAGACACCTGTAGTTTAATATATTTAGCAGACAAACTCTTTTACGACAGTTTGAAGGGGCTCGTCCGCTAGATCAATAAATTGAACCACAAGTGTTCGATCATAAAACCAGTCCACCAACACACTCTCAATGCTTCTTGGCTTGTTGTACACAAACTTATGGATCTCGTAACCCAGTTGTGAACCCAAGTTGTGACCGTAGAGGGAGGTTATCAGAAATCCTCTCCACATCCCGCTAGCGACAATCGATTGATGATAAGATGTCTAAAATTTTGAAGGATCAGTACAAGAATCTGCCAAAACTGCAACGAAAATCTGCTAAGGACCAAACGTTGTCGCAGATCTGCGACGGAATGTCCACCCGCTGCAGCTCGTCGTAGGTTTTCGCAATTTTTACGATCGCTTTCCGTCGCAGTGTTCGTCGCCAAAACTACGACACTATGTTTCCGTCGCAGAAGTCGGTTAGGCGATGATAAATTTGCGACGGGCGCATTTGGCTGCAGAATCGTCGCTAATATGAATTCTGCTACGGATTTGAAATATCTGCCACGGAATTTTCTTGTTGCAGAAATGACAGATTCTTGTAGTGTAATTAGAACTTCAAAAGTGCAACTCTATTACTAAAAAATACTAAATTGTTACTTTAATAAAAAATAACACTTAGGCCATTTTACGGTTATTTATGAAACACATGGCAATATAGTTTATTCCAAGCTTAAAAAAAGAGGAAGGAGTTTTTCAGATTGAGGTTTATTTTGTTTATTAATATTTCTATTTGTAATAAATATATATTATAAAAATAAAGTATTTTAAAACTATATTTTATAATTAGCCTATCAATATTACATTCATATGAAAACTCAATATATTTTTATATAATATTTCAAAAAAGGTTGAGTGAGGAAAATATTGAAACCTTAATTTAAAGAGGTGGGAGTAAACTCTAGTACTCCCTAGTCGTCACTTTGGACAGCTGTTAAAAAATTGAAGTCTACTACTCCTTAGTTAGTGGTAATAAAGTGATGTGGTCGCCATCCATAATTTAATCCGGCGCAAAAGTAAAAGTGAAAAAGCAAAGCTTAATACGTCTTTCCATTATTTATACTCATCGCCATCACATTGGTGAGCACGTCGAGAAAAAGAAAAGAAATCGAACATCTATCGATCCATCTTGAGAGAATGGTTTTCACCGGTTTGATTGCCGTTTGTTTCTTTTTGCTCTTCTTGGAATGATGGTGCGACTATCCTGCGGTTCAGAATCTCTTTTGGTTCCCCTAACTGTGGTTGAGGGTGCACTGGCTGAGGGTGCTATGTGCCTCGATGGTAGCCCTCCCGCTTACCATTTTGCTCCCAGAAATGGCGACGGCGTGAAAAACTTGATGGTCTATCTCCAAGGAGGTGGGTGGTGCATCAATAGCACCATGCACCAAACTTGGGATCGTGCGGTGGAGAGTTGTTCCGACCGCGCCGCCACTAGGGCCAATTCATCCCTCTGCATTAGACCTTATAACATCGCCTATATCTTCTCTACTCGCGCCAATGAAAGTTATTTTCATAATTAGAACAGAGTGGCGGTGAGGTTTTGTGATGGGGGTCCTTTGCGGGGGATGTGGAAAACCCCGACCCGGTCACTCATCTATACCATAGAGGGGCGAGGATCTTTCGAGCGGTCGTCAGAGAGTTGATGACCCGAGACTTGAAAGATGCTCAAAACGTTCTTCTAGCCGGGGGATCATCCGGGGGGCTTGCAGTCATGTTACACTGTGACCGTTTTTGTGGGGAATTCTCCAAGAACGCCAGAGTGAAATATTTGGCCGATAGCTCCTTCTTTGTCCTGATGAAAGATCCTCTCCGGGCAAAATTTTTTAAGGATGTTTTTAGGCGCCATTGTCCATATGCATCACCCCGACCAGGTTTTACTCGCGGGTTGCACGTCAAAACTGGGTTCGGTCACATACTTATTCCCCCAGACCCTTTTGCAGTACACACAATCCCCGATCTTTCATGTGAACTCTGCATTTGATTCTTTTCAGATCCAAAACACGTTTTCGTTGGATCTGTACAATGAAATCAAGAACTATACGCAACAAGTCAGGATATGAGAAAGCTTCAATACTTTCGACGCCAAATCATCAAGTGATTACCGCCAGCAAGGTGGGGGGAGAGGATATTTGATAACATTCCTCTCTGGTCATTGCTTGGGTTCACAAAAAGTTTACAAGATTCCTATGTTTGTAAATAACACCAAGTCAAGGATCATTGAAAGCGTATTGGTGGATTGGTTTTTTGACCGAACACCAATGGTTTAGTTGATTGATCCAGCCGACGAGCCAGTTTAACCTTCACCCACTTAAGTTGTTTGAAGCTTCATCAGTGGACTACGTATTCTTCTTAGGTTAGCTTTGTGCATTGAATGGCTTAACTTACTATTTATTATTATTATTATTATTATTATTATTATTATTATTATTATTATTATTGTTATTATTATTATTGTTATTATTATTATTATTATTTTTATTATTATTGTTATTATTATTGTTCTCATTATTTTTCTTCTCTTGTTCTTGTTATTAGTATTGTTATTATTGTTATTGTTATTTTTATTATTATCCTTATTATTATTAGAAAATAGTACGAGCAATAGTACGACTAATTAATACTTGCTCCCACTGTTTTTTCTTTTTTATTGGAAACATGCATTAAGAAAAAAGTTAAAATTTGCTTCGACAAGCAAATTTTGTGTTTCCTATCAATTTTAATTACTCCCTCCATCCCCCATAGATCTTCCCAATAACGCTTTTTCTTTGTCCACAATAGATCTTCTCATTTCATTTTTTAACAATTAAAATACCACAACTACCCCCACTTACTTTATTTATTACACCTCACCCACCTCATTTAATACACTCCACCTATTTCTCATTAAGAGTATTATGGTAAACTTTCACCTTTTTTCAACTCTCCTTAAAACCACCAAAAGTCAAAATGAGAACATCTTAGGGGGACGGAGGGAGTATAATCCAATTCAATGACGTGATTGTGACTTTGTGAGGAAAATTAATTATGGAAGAGGGTACGTAAGAGATAATTAAAGATACGGAGTGCATTTTATTTTTTACCCTAGGCCAAATATGGAGTTGTAGTTTTGAGTTTTGACAGAGTAAAGACAAGCAATCTGTGGATCAAACAATCAAATAAGTTTTTACTTATGGGCAATTTACGTAAATAGCATTAAAACATAATATTTTTTTCCAATGTAGCACTTTTAGTCATTATCAATTAGTTATTATTCAAGTTAATGCTCGCCATCACTGGATATTATTAAGTGTTATTTAGAAAATAAAATAGTTTAAGAGCTATTTAGAGAAATGACTTAAGTTTTAGTGCTATTTAGTGCAAATATTTCTTTACTTATTTCCATAGGCGCACACCCATAGGCGCACACAAATTTATGTACCCACCCACTAACATTTGTTCTCATTAAATGTATGCAATCAAGTGTTTTTGGTTCTTTGAAGTTTTTTGACGTAAACAAAAAGTGTGTTTGCTGCCTTGCTGGTGCCAAAAAATAAAACGTGTACCATAGCTAACTAGGTTGAGTGTTTACATTGTAATAGGTCCGTTTAAATAACATCTTACCGAATCAAAACCCAATATAAGTGTTCACTTTGAAAAAATCCTTTCGTTGTCACATGGCATTCGTATATTTACTTCATCTAAATTATGCTTGGGATACACCATTTTATGCTTGTGAATAAACTCAAAACTACAACTTTGTATTTAGCCTAGGGTAAAAAATAAAATGCACTCCGTATCTTTAATTATCTCTTATGTACCCTCATCTATAATTAAATCCCCTCACAAAGTCACAATCACGTCATTGAATTGTGTTATAATTAAAATTGATAGGAAACATTGCTTGTCGAAGCAAAATGTTAACTTTTTTCTTAATACATGTTTCCAATAAAAAAGAGAAAGTAGTGGGAGCAAGTATTAATTAGTCGTACTATTGCTCGTACTGTTTTCTAATAATAAGGATAATAATAATAATAACAATAATAATAACAAGAACATAAGAAGAAGAAGAATCAGAACAACAACAACAACAACAATAATAATAATAATAATAATAATAATAATAATAATAATAATAAATAGTCCCTCCGTCTGGGAAAAATCTTCCCATTTGGACTTTTTCTCATTTTTTTGAATGGTTGACTTATGAGTTGAAATGGCTAAAATACCCTTAGAAGGGCTAGGGAATGAACGAGGAAGCTGGCCGTTCATGGTTCTCACCTTCGCTAGCCCCCACCGTCAATTTGAGCCTCGCCACTGCCCCTTCCCCACCCGTGCTCTGACCATCTTCCCTAGCCCCCACCACCACTAGCCCAACCCTTGCCACCACCATTAGTCCTTTTATTGCCGCCAGCCCCACCATTGTTGGCATCCTCACCATTATGGTAATATGGTCAACCCCAACCCTGCTTCCTGTACCACCATGGCACAGATCTAAAATAAATAACAAGGAGAAAGGGGCAGTGGTGCAGATCTATAAGAAATAATGAGAAGTAGTATAGATCTACACTCCCCATCACGTTAGTCGCCACAATCACCGCCGCCATAGCCCAGATCTAGAAGAAAGACAAAGAAGAAAGGAGGAGGGAAGAAAGACAAGGGGGAGAGAGGAGAAGAGGAAGAAGAGAAGCAAGAATCATAGGAGAGAGAGAGGAGAAGAGAAGGTCTAAGAAAGGAGGAGGATGAAAATGGATGGAAGAAACTGACGAGGAGATGGAGGAGATTTGTCGGTGAAAAAAAGATGGAGAAGTGGAGGAGGAAAGAAAAAGAAAGAAAAGAAGAATAGGAAGAAAAGGAAAAAAAGAAAGAAAGAGGTTATTTAATGAGAAGGGTATTTTTGGAAAAATTAGGGTTAAAATTTGAAAAGGGAAGATTTTTTCAAGACGAGAAAAAAGGAGAAACATTAAGTAGTAAGTTAAGCCATGCAGCGCATAAAGCTAACCTAAGAAGAGTGTGTAGTCCATTGTTGAAGCTTTAAACAAGTTAAATGGGTGAAGGGTAAACTGGCTCGTTAGCTGGATCAATCAACCGAACCATTGGTATTCAGTCAAAAAACCAGTCAACCAATACCCTTTCAATGGTCCTTGACTTGGTGTTGTTCACAAACATAGGAATTTTGTAACCTTTTTGTGAACCCAAGCTATGACCACAGAGGGATGTTATCAAATATCCTCTCCCCCCACCTTGCTGGCGATAATCACTTGATGATTTGGCGTCGAAAGTATTGAAGCTTTCTCATATCCTGACTTGTTGCGTATAGTTCTTGATTTCATTGTACAGATCCAACGAAAACGTGTTTTGGATCTGAAAAGAATCAAATGCAGAATTCACATGAAAGATCGGGGATTGGGTGTACTGCAAAAGGGTCTGGGGGAATAAGCATGTGACCGGACATAGTTTTGACGTGCAACCCGCGGATAAAACCTGGTCGGGGTGATGCATATGGACAATGGCGCCTGAAAACATCCTTAAAAAATTTTGCCCGGAGAGGATCCTTCATCAGGACAAAGAAGGAGCTATCAGCCAAATATTTCACTCTGGCGTTCTTGGAGAATTCCCCACAAAAACGGTCATAGTGTAACATGACTGCAAGCCCCCCCGGATGATCCCCCGGCTAGAAGAACGTTTTGAGCATCTTTCAAGTCTCGGGTCATCAACTCTCTGACGACCGCTCGAAAGATCCTCGCCTCTCTATGGTATGGATGAGTGACCGGGTCGGGGTTTTCCACATCCCCCGCAAAGGAACCCCATCACAATACCTCACCGCCACTCTGTTCTAATTATGAAAATAACTTTCGTTGGCGCGAGTAGAGAAGATACAGGCGATGTTATAAGGTCCCATGCATAGGGATGAATTGGCCCTAGTGGCGGCGCGGTCGGAACAACTCTCTACCGCACGATCCCAAGTTTGGTGCATGGTGCTATTGATGCACCACCCACCTTCTTGGAGATAGACCATCTAGTTTTTCACGCCGTCGCCATTTTTGAGAGCAAAATGGTAAGCGGGAGGGCTACGATCGAGGCACATAACGCGCTCAGCCAGTGCACCCTTGATCACAGTTAGGGGAACCAAAGAGGTTTCGAACCGTAGGATAATCGCACCATCGTTTCAAGAAGAGCAAAAAGAAACAAACGGCAATCAAACCGGTGAAAACCATTCTCTCAAGATGGATCGATAGATGTTCGATTTCTTTTCTTTTTCTCGACATGCTCACCAATGTGATGGCGATGAGTATAAATAATGGAAAGACGTATTAAGCTTTGCTTTTTCACTTTTGCCTTTGTGCCGGATTAAATTATGGATGACAACCACATCACTTTATTACCACTAGCTAGGGAGTAGTAGACTTCAATTTTTTAACAGCTGTCTAAAGTGACGACTAGGGAGTACTAGAGTTTACTCCCACCTCTTTAAATTAAGGTTTCAATATTTTCCTCACTCAACCTTTTTTGGAATATTATAGAAAAATATATTGAGTTTGCATATGAATTTAATATTAATAGGCTAATTATAAAACATAGTTTTGAAATATTTTATTTTTATAATAATATATATTTATATACAAATAAAAATATTGATAATCAAAATACCCCTCAATCTGAAAAACTCCTTCCTCTTTTTTTGGGCTTGGAATAGACTATATTGTCGTGTGTTTCATAAATAACCGTAATACAAAAACAAAAAGAAAGGAATAGTTCATAAAGCCGTATTCTCTTCACTTAATGTGATTGGTTCTGTGATTTGAATGTAGTCATATTTAATGTTATTTTTAATCTGGTCTGATATGATTCTAACAAGGATAAGTAAAATAATAAGTTGACGGTTGGCATCATTCCTACCTCCCATACCTCCCATGAACTGATCAAATTCTTGATCACTCATGACATCGCCTATGAACTACTCTAGATTTGTAGGAAAGGACGAGACAAAGTGTATCACTTGAGAAGCACGTGACCTTGAACCTTCGGACGTGGTGTGGGCTTTGCCTATGCCTCTGTTAGAACCTTCGCGATTCACAA